CAGAGCCCTTCCAGAGCCCTTCCAGAGCCCTTCCAGAGCCCTTCCAGGTCTTCAATTCAATGGAAGTTCACTGGAGTCTGACTGGTGCGACTCGCAAGGAATGAGGGATGGATCCTAAGGTATCTATATGTATCTATGGTCAAGGGTCATTCCATTTTTCTCCGCTAAGTAACGTAAGCAGTAAGGAGTTCAGGTGCATTTATTGAGAGGATCCCCGCATGGCCGCAAAGCCGGAACATCCCAATCGCTTTTTCGGGGTCGAAAAACCGCTTTGCTTGGGAGTTCCTTTTGATTTGTCCCCCTACAATGGACATATTCATCCCCACACCAGCCTACATGGATATATCTTATATATGTGTTTTCACGTGGTTCGTGCCCCGTGAAGTGGTTTTCATGACTTGAACCCACCTCCTTTCCGTGTAGAAACTAATGGACGTTGCCCATGAAAAATAAACCTGATGATCTGGGATACATTGCCGTCCATCTGCTCATCCTGTTTGGTCAGCTCAATAACGGTTCGTCCCCCAGCAACCAATGGATGTCAATGCGGGAAATCTTTCCTCAGGTACTGGTCGTTGGAAAACACAACCTCAACACCTTAGTTTGGGCCAACGGTGTTGGCCAACAAAAACTTGGAGTCAACGGTTTTCTCGGTTTTGTACGGGTGAAACTTTGAAACGGAGGTGCTTGACCGCCTCGTACATCGAGCCATCCGACCACGCGAAGTGGCCCTTCCCGTTTTTTCGTCCTGCCTGGCAGGTGTCGCGACGCGCGGTGCACGTGGGTCGTCGGTGTTTGGGTGGTCCAACCTCTGACCAACGCGGTGGGAGGTCGTCCAGTCCGGGTTTCTCCCTTGGGCGTGATGAACTCGATGAAAAGTCCGTCTTTGGGTTCCCCCCAAGCGGCCGTCACTGTCACAGTGTTTTTAGCAGTTTCCGGTAGAACTCTGGAAACAAGCCTATTCGATGTCTAGACTTGGGTAGGCAGTGATCCAAACATCGACCGCATGATGCTTGCATGTTCTGCATTCTGCCGCACCACCTACAGCATAGATGCTTCTTGATTACCAAGTGCACCTACAGCATCCATCTACAAGCGCCCGGCGGGCAGTGAGGGATAAAAAAAAGCGGATCAAAAGGAACCAACTAACAAACAAAATATCTGTTCCACAGTGCAGGGTCTCCTCAAAAATATCGTTCGTTTTTAGAAAGGAAAGTGCTCTCAGCAGTGCACCGCAAGGAGTGGGGCATTAAAATGTTCCACAGTGTAGGATGCAAGGTAATCTCCTCAAAAGATCTCAAAAGCATTGCGAAAACAAGGATTCAACAAAATCAAATTTAAAGAAACTAGAAAGGGTTCTCAGCAATGCGCTGCACCATTCTAAGGAATGGGCTGTGATTGCGGTTTGGCATTGCCTGCAAAAACCGAAGCAAACCAACCATGGTCGGGTTAGTGTCACTAGCAAGGGCTTGCAGGTGGTTCCTTAAATGCAGAAGGAGAAGCAAAGGGAGTTGAAAGAAGAGAGTGAAGAGAAGAAGGAGAAGGAGAAGAGAGCACAAAGGAGAGGGGAAGCATAGCCGCATCGTGACCCTCTCTTGATAAGTATACAATACAGCTCAAAGATGATCCACTGAGGCTTTGAGCCGGCAGAGTTTTCAACCACCCAAATCGCGGCCCAAGTGAACTTGTTGGTGCTGGTTTTCTGCCGTGCGAACAGCTTTGTTTTCTTCTTGATGCATGTGTGTTTTCTTGTTGATGTGTTGGACATGTTGTTGTTTTGTGTTGATGTGTGTGTGTGTGTGTTTGTTTCTTTTGATGGGTCTTCCGGCAGTTTTCCTCTCAGGAACTGGCAGTTCTACATCGATCTGCAGTTGTTTGGAATAAGTAATCCCGGATTCCAAGCAACCCTAGGGCATGCTCTATGTAGTTCTTCCCACAGAACTTGTTCTCCTTCAGACCACTTCGCGAACACAAACCAGCCCACGACATAGGACCCATCCCATCCAGGAGGCCATGACCGCCCGCCTCATACTGGCCCTCATACTTGGCACCTCAAAGGGCGGTGCTTTTCATAGGAACAAAGGGGCCAAATCGGACTGGAGGCCATCGCTATTAGGGTGGAGGCCATCGCTACTATGGTGCAGGCCATTGCTATTAACAGGTAGTGAAGACACCTGTGAGGCACATGGGGCCTTGCTGGGTGGCAGCTGCTGGAATCACGTTTGTTGAGTTCAGGCAGGATTTGTGGGTACGGCAATCGGTCATATACTAGGAGTCATCATCATATTTAATCAATAGTGCATTACTACTGTATCTATATTTAATCAATGTGTATATATAAGAATATATGTGTTGAGTTCAATCCCCAAGCTTGTTCAATCCCAAGCCTTTTCTCTCATCAATCCCTCATGTTCCGGGTCCCAGTTCAGAGAGTCTCTTCAAGTTTCATGTGTTTGGCGCATCAATCCCTCATGTTTGGTTCAGAGAGTCTCTTCAATCTCATGTTTTTGTGGCGCACGGAATCACAGCACTGCGCCCCAATTGGGCCATGACTCCAGACCCTTGTCGCTCGCTATTTTACAGAGGCCACCGCCATCAGGCCACTCCTCCGTGCCGAGCCTGAAGAAAAGCACCGGAGGGTCACACGGCACAAACGGCTGGGGGGGTGGGTGAAGTTCCAAGATCCGGTTCTACATGTCTCTGCATTATGCAATGTCTCAAGATCAGTTCACCAGAATAACAAAAACAGTTTCTGGTGAATGTTCCAAGATCTGAACTCTTCTACTCCCGGATGAGTTGTGAAGCCAAATGAGCCGTCCTTTTTTAGGTAAAGTGCCTCACTGCTGAGTTGCCCACGCTGGGATTTTCGCAGGGTCAGAATTTGTGGGAAGGGTGGCTTCACGAGGCTTCGCGCAACACCAGAGGCTTCGCGTTTGCAACCTTTCACACACTCTAAGTTAGCCTTCGCGGATTGGCTTCGCCTGTGTGAAATCCAAGAGCCTACTCCAGAGGCTTTGCGAGCCTTCGCCACACATAATGTATCACATTCGCAAACATTTGGTGAGCTACAGTCTAATCTAAAGTCTATCATTCAATTAAAACAACGCGACTCAAATCACAAAGGGGAAAACGAGTCAACAAGGGCTCACAGTCGAAAGGCGCGTCGTTCGCACGCCCAGACCTGTCCCATACGATGTCCTCCCGGACCCGAGCATGTCGGTCGTGTGAGCCAAGGAACCCATGCTGCTTATCATCCGCCTCGGTCGTTTGGGCCGGTCGGCCACTTCCGGTCGGCAAGCCTGCACACTTCTGAGTCTGTTAGTCTGTTAGTCGGTCCCCCAACAGGTCTCCTCTAGAGGGGTCTCAAAGGTCTCAATTGGGTGACCTGTTGGAGGGTGGTGTCTGTGAATCCAGAGTCTACTCGCATCAGCTGGTGGAGTCTAATCCCTTCTGCACCCGAAAAAGGTCCTCCGAACGGTCTTTTCAGGATGTCTCGACCCATTGGTCCTTTTGTCCTTGGGCGCCACACCCACTGGCCCTTGTACTTCGAACCATCAGCGTGTTGGTACCTGGCGCCCATCGAAAAAAGCGGCCAGCCGGATCTCTTGAGAAACGGAGACCAGAAAAGGATGCAATTATGATACACCGCCTCTACCCTACCCACACTCTTTCATGACTAAAGGTTCTCCTCTCATATTTATAGTATAGTACTGAGCTCGCGGAGATTCCTGCAGCTTGGGATGTTTGGTCCATCGAACACCCGATTCATCGTGGTGCTGTGAACCATCAAAACGCCGAGCAAGTGACTTTGCGCTGCTTCGAGAGGCCCAGACGAATGCCAAGTAAACAAGTAGTTAGGAGATGCTAGGGGCAAGTTGAGTATTCGGAGTCTGAAACGGATGCTCAAATGAAAGCTGCATCTGATCTGGACAGCTGGCTTCTTTGGCTCATGTCTTGGATGACATTTACCATATGACCTCAAAACTTTATTAAGCAACAATCCAACAAAACGGCTCTGAATGTGCTCAAAGCGCACAGAAAGGACCCCCCCAGCTTTGCACCGGACCAGGCTCCGGTTGGGTGATGCTTCTTCCCAACCCCAACGCAACGGACCCAAAACACTAAAAAAGCGCCCCGACCAGCCAGCCACTCCGGTGACCGGCGGGTGACCGGCGGGTGACCCGTGACCCGTTGGTGTTGGGGCACTCGCCCTCGCCATGGGCTTTGTCAAGCCTCCACTCGCCTTCATAGACCTGCCCAAAGGGCTGAGAACGGCTCGGCCCACGGATTGCCTTCGATGTCCGAGCAGGGCGGCGTCACGAATTCACCAGGGTAGCAAAGCATAATTCATGGAGGCATATGGAGGCTGAATGTGAAGGACTCCCAATGTATATCACTACTCCTCATACTCACTGTGGGGAAGCAGGAATCCCGCCCTTGCCTTGCAAACCATGGTGTCTCAGTTTGTATCTTGGGATATCTTGGGTACCCGAGTCAAATGCCCGAGCTTCATCATGCAACAGCTCGTGGCCCTCTTCCACTCTCAGTTCCCAAAAAGTACTTTTAAGAAACTGTTTTCGGCCACACCACCAAGACCGAAGTGACTTTCTCTCATCTTTTCCCTTTGAAAGTATGACCACTGCATCGAGACGTGTCTCGAGCCAACCCCCCAGCGACCGGGGCGCCCGACATCTCCGTCGACATGTTCGAAGCGGCCGAAGCCATGGGCTTTGTCGTTCTCCTGGAGTGACCACCGACCCAAAGCCGCCAGTCCAAGCGCGTCCGCGGACGGCACCGCTGTCATCGGATTTCGTCGGAGGCAACGGAAAGTACGAAGATGGATAGACTTTTCACATCTTTCAAGAACCACCAATATGGGTTTGGGGGTGATTTGGGGATGCAAAAATAGTAAATAGGAAAAGAAGACATGTGTTTTGGCAAAATCATCCAAAGACTTGCAATGGGGGAAGCGATTGGGTCAAGCAAAGGCTCGATTTTTTGAGAAGTCTGCTCTCGCTACGGTAGCATGCATGCAACTACCCAACATGGTGCAGTCGATCGCGGCAAGGATGTAAAATAGAACGTAACTCCAAAGCAGGAGTTTGAACCATGGCCAGGCCTAATCCTTTGTAGGTTGACCCCCCTTGCTGCTATCGAGGGTCGGACACTATGGATGGTCCTTCAGCTCCCTCCCGCCGCGACGAGTGCGGCCCCCCCCTCTCGACGGCGGCCGCACCCATTGGCCCTTGTACTTGGCACCATCCGGCCAAACCTGGCGAGATCCCCCCGCGCGAGGAAGTACGCGGGACGGGACAGACAAGGGCCCTACCAGTGAAGTCAGATCCCAAAAACCTGGTCCTGAAAATCTCATTGAGTAGTATATGATGTGTGGATGATCAACTCTAGTAAAATGGGGTCCAACTGACCTGTAGGGAGGGTGTTTTCTTTAGCACGTGCCGGGGCCCTCGGCTTTGGGTGGACGCGCCAATGGATCCCACGCAACAAGTGTAACATGTCATTTTGGGTCGCCTGTTCTTGGGAGGAACGGCATCAAACTGAGTCCATGGAATGTGTTCATCAAAGGCTCAAGACGTAGACGTAGATGATGTTCCCTGCTGGATCCATGTGGTGCGAATGACCACCGCATGACCACCGCCCCTGCCATGAAAGATTGGGGTTGTCAGTGAAGGGTGTGCCACACCCGCACAACACATGAAGCATGAAGGAGAATTGCGCCCTCTCCGTCCTGCTGTGGATGCTTACAGTAGGCCTTCCCCATCTTTTCTATGGGGGCCTCTGTCCAAACCACCAAAGAGGGAACACACTCTAGAGTCCTAAGCGCGTTTGAGTGTCACATCGATGCAGGAAACTTGGAGGTTCCCTGCTTTTAAAGGCACAGCCATCTTGGACCTTTGTCAAGACCCTGTCAGAAGGGCAAGTTGCCTCTGGTGCTGTTTCAGTACGTTCTCCAGTTCTCCGCCATCGATGTGTCTAATTACCAATGCTGCTCTGCAACTACACCTGTTCTTGTGTTCAGGCCCTGAAGGTACTGGAGGAAATTTGTCTGTATTTGCTCTGAATCTGACTTGAGAGGAGTTTTTTTCTGCAGATCTTGGACTCGAAAGTAAGTAAGTAGTGAGGGTGGATGAAAACACCTCACTGAACTGCCAGGGGTCCCAATAGACTACCCGAGAATACTCTTGAATTGCACCTGTTGGATGGTGTATATTCTCAATGCGAGTCCCTGGCTGGATTAGAGTTGGGCTTCATAGATCCAAAGAAAAATGCAACAATAGATAGCCAGTTCTGCCAGATTCGAGCTGCAAGTTGGCCCCGCGTTTCTTCGGGTTTCCACCGAGGGTTTCCTGCCTGCTCCCCCTCGCCGTGCCGACAGCTGCCTGGCATCACGTTGTTACTAGTAACGATGGCCTCCAACCTAATAGCGATGGCCTCCAACCTAGTAGCGATGGCCTCCAACCTAATAGCGATTGCCTCCCACCTAGTAGCGATGGCCTCCAACCTAATAGCGATGGCCTCCAACCTAGTAGCGATGGCCTCCAACGTAATAGCGATTGCCTCCCACCTAGTAGCGATGGCCTCCAACCTAATAGCGATAGCCTCCAACCTAGTGCTCTTCAAAGCCACCCCGTCAAACTAGAGAAACGGTTGAAATATAATCAAGAGATATCAAGAGTCTACATGACGCGTTCGTTTGCTCAGTTCAGTTGATAGAATGCAAAGAAATTGTTGCACTAAACCTGACAGAAACGAGACTACTCAGATTAGATAGACTAGAGGTCTTCAAAACGGGTCTCAATCCTTTCATTCAACCAGAACACAATCGGTCTAATCGGTCTTCCTCCACCCGATACTTAAAATATATACACCCCTTCTGCCTTCACCATCTCCCCGTCTGACCTACCCACTCGCCAGTGTAGGTTGCACCATTTTCAAACCTCGGCCGCGTCGCGGCCCCGTCAGGGCCCTGAGCCCACTGGTGTTCACTACTTACTTTAGGTCTTGGAGTTGGGACTGGGGACCGCTTCTCGAAGCATCGCTGGGCGAAGAATTGCATGCAGGAAGAACCGTGGCCATGCAGGAAGCTCCTTCAAGACGATCGGCCCCCTTCCTCTCCCGATCGACCGATCGTTTCTCCCCCAAACAAATAGATTCAAAAAAATGGAGGGTCGGGCGCCGGGTCGGGTGCCGTCTGAAAGCCGAGGAAGAAAGGGCTCTACCTTTCTGCCAGCTCAACACGAATCACTAAGCCTCCCTGCCGGTGGGGGCCCCGCTTCTCCCTTTGGCCATCTTTCGCCAAGGAGCCCTGGGAAAAATCCGGCGTTCGCTGTCTGCTTTTGCGTTCGGTGTTGGAAACACCCAAACTCTTGACTCCTCAGAGCCCCCCAACTGATACTGACACCGAAGCTTAGGAAAGTCACTCTTTAGAGAGGACACTACTCAAGTTGTCGCGATCGGTCGAATTCCGCGGAGATCGGTCATCCACTCCATTAGTAGAGATGCCCCCGAAGGCACCCGACGGCGCCTCGATCGCGTTGCCCTCCACTCCGGTGCAGAAGTTGCACGCGACTCCGTTCCCGTTCCTGAGCCGTTGCACGACGGGCGACGCGTGGACGTCCCGGTGTCGAGTGGGCGCAGTGGCAGCCCAGACGGTCCAATGGGTGTGGGGGGGGAAGGACCAAGCCTTCAGGCAACTGGCCGAAGTTGCAGCAGTTTGGGAATGAATCCTGTTGACTGTTGATCCAACCCCCGCGGAGATGAGGATGTTTGACCATCCAAGAGCTTGGATCTAATTGACTTCCCGGACCTTAATTAGACTTACATAGAACTTGTACCATGAACATGAGAGCTGGTCACTTTTGTCGTCCTTACTTCTTGTCTTTGTGCCTGCCCGTTCGTTCGTAGCTTCGTGTACATACCACCTGGTTCCTTTGCTCATGTGTACATATTCCTTTATTTTTTCACACCCACCTCAACCCCCCAGACAACCTGGGGAAGGGGGGAGTGGGCGCGCGTCGAGACAGATCGTCCGCAAGTCCGTGCATCCAAGTCAGGACTGTTTGATTCAAATTCAACAGTCATTCAGGTGCAGACCGCAAGTTCCAAAACCCCACAGGGTCTCATCGCTCATTAAGCTCATGGTGAACCATCGCATCTTGGCCCGAGTTTCAGGTTTCAGTCGCAACCTCGCGGTGACGGCGGCGTTCGCAGAAATCGAATCACCCTGAACATCCAGGATCCAGCATGCAGCCGACCTTTGAGCACGTGTTCCGAGCATGGAAACCATTCAATCTCGCGAAAAATCGTCCAAATCCTCCGATCTGGATCTGGCTCAAACAGGACCACAAGCAACACCCCCCAGCCAAGAAGCCCCATGGCTCTTTGCTCACGCAAAGTCAAGCGGAGTGGAGGAGTCTCGAGCCCAAAGAAAAAACGATTTGACTGGTTGGGACTGGCCCAACAACCGTGGCGTCTGTTCTTCTCTGTTCGGCTCTGTTCGGCTCTGTATGTGCAAAGACTGAGATGGCCTGGGATCCCCGAACCTCTTGGGCGAGTTACGCTGCGCCAGCTAGAAATCATTATAGAAATACCATTGAGACGATCACACTGGGTGAGACAAAACATGAGCGTCCTCGAGTCCTCAAGTCCTCGACTACGGTGGCACAGGGCGGAACTCTTCTTGACTCGAGGGTCGGTTCAAGAGACCATCCTTCCAACAAGTGTAGTGAAGTGGAAGAACCCCTGTCTGCAAGGGAACCCCTCTACAGTCCGAAAAATTGTCAAAATCATCCTGAATCACCTGAATCAACTAAGGCTGAGGAGCCTCTCCAATGATTCTTTCCCCTGCTCGACGGCCCGTGATGACCCCCGCTCCTATGTGCTTTGTGCTCAGTCTTCCACCGGCACCGGCGGAGCCGGTTCCGAGTTCCAGAACGCGACGGGAATTCTCGCTGGGCGAGTTAAGGGGCTGAGCGTGTCTTCGTGCCAAATTCACCGATCAAACCGATCATCAGAACTTTTGGGACTTCAGAATCGGAGCGGTCAATCCCGGTTTGATGGCGATGGGTCCCTTTTTCTCAGCGACCTTTCGTCAGGGTTTCGTGCTCTTTCGTCAGGGTCGTCAGCTGGTGCTTTCCAAGTGTCCCCCTTCTAATCCTTATGTCCAGCAAGTTGATTGGGACTCCAAATGAATCGCTCAGCTGGTATGTCGGTCCGAACCACTCACGCAGAGTCAGACCCGGTACTCGCAGCTCGCCAAGGCTCACCCCCTCACCAACCATAGACTACCTGGTCCTTTTGACCGACCAAACCGCCCCCGGTCCCCTTTGAGGACTCCAGGGGATCTCTGACTCTTGGACCATCCGCAGAGGAGAACAAGCCACCGAAAGCTGTAAAAGGCATAGGGGGTCTTAAAGTCGGGGTTAACGAGTCAATCCTTTGCAACTAAACCCCTCCACAAGTTGCTTACCCCCTCATTTGATGCACGTCAGCAGGGCCACCACAAGGCCCTGCAAAAATCATGGATGTGCTGTCCAGGAACTGGAAAAAGTAAAACACCAAAAAGATCGCCAGGAGGGGATTCACCCAAGTAAGGAACAGTTGAAAACAAATCCGAAAAAACAAGTTCAGGATCTTGGAACTTCTGCTGTCGGTGACCATCGAGTGGATGAATCCTGACGAATCCAATTCTGATACCCATTGTGCAGATCTTCCTGCGACCTGTCTCTACCACAGAAAACGAAGTCAACCAGTGAGATCAATGAGTCCCCCTCTGCTTCGGAAGATCCAATGACAAGGATAATGATTCCCGGTCACCTTCACCTGCAGCGGAGCTGGTTTTCCGCAGCCACCTCGCCCCACATCAAAATCCCCTGCAGATTCACGAGAAAAAGGGTTGTCTGGGCGAGTGGCATGACTTCACCTGGTTGATCAATAAAGCCCCCCAAAGGTGTTTTACCAAAGTGATCCAAGGGTCCAAGTTCAGTTGATGATAGACTAGAAGTAAATATCTGTGACGAATAAGCTTGACTTTGCCGCCTTTGCCTGTCTACGTATTGAGGGTTTCGCATAAAAACCGGCAGGCCTTTTCAGATGTTATTTTACAGTGTTGTATGTATGTCATAGGTGGTTCAAACAATGAGTCCTGTCAGTCCTGTACTCGCAGCAAAAATAAACAAAACAAAGGCGCAAGGCTTGCAAAATGATGCAAACAAATCAGGGCAGCAGCAAACACTTGCTCAACGTTTGAAGGGCCCACGCGGAAAGCAGCTCAAGTCTTGTTATGTCTGAATGTGAAAGCCCCAGGACCGCACGCTCATATTCCACACTGTCCCGCCAAACGCTGAAATTCCTTCCAGGGAAGTTTTGTGAAAGTTGACTCCATTGAAGTGCGAAGGGTTCCCAAACGTGTGGCACTATTTGGCAAATTGAACGGAAAATATGTGTTTTTACAGGAGGGGCTGAGGTCTCATGTTCTCGTCAATAATCTGAAACCCATGAGGAAATCAGTGGGTGATTTGAGTCCCAATCAGGAAGCCAATGAATGAAGGAGAAACAAAATTGTTAGGCGTCCCTGCAAAATCAGCTCGAGAGAGAAGAGAGAAGAGAGAGGAGAGAAGAGAGAGGAGAGAGGAAAGACGAGAGAGTCTGTCCTTGCCCTTGCGAACCTGTGTCCTTCTATTGTCTTCCTGGTTCCGCCTTGTCCGGGCCTTGTCTGCTGTCTTTCCCTCCTTGTTCGGGGCTTGTCCAAGCCTTGTCTGGGTCTGTGTGCTGCTGCGCCACGCCGCCACGCCGCTACGCCGCTTTCCCTTTCTCCACCGCCTTCGGGTATGTTTTCGTGGGGCTATGAATGCAACAGTGATGCAGAATTTGAAATTTGATAGCATCCTCGGTTTTTCTGATATATATAATTATATATATATATATTCCATCGTTTTTGCGCATGTGACCCAGGAATCAGGAACTATTGCTTTCAAAAAAAGGTGCTTACATGCCGTTCCCAAAGAGCTGGAGGCTACAGGGATATAGATGGATATAGTATAGCTACAGACGTTACCACCAGCGGAACTCAAGTTGACGCCACAAAAAGGAACTGTTGACGCCAGTGCTGGCATAAATCGCAAACAAAAAACACCTCTGACCCGAAACGCCTTCCACGACGCCACCTCAACGGTCGCTCGCTGCGACTGACCGACCTCTCCCACCCGCCTCATCGGGCCACGAACGGCAAGTCCGGGGCCCTGCGAGGAGGGGCCCGTGTCGCCCGACGAGAAAGCACCGATCAACGTGATGAACAAAATTAGACCGGCATAGACCCCAGATAGCATCCTGTATAAACCGGTTATTGTTTTTTTACTGTTATCGTTTTCCGGGCCGGCAATGCAAAAGTAGTGTTAAGGCGCATGCCAATACTAAACTGCTGAGCACGGGGTTATTTCAACAGCCCAAGTGTGCAAGTGGGCGCACGTGGTCATGTGCAAACCTTTCAGAACGCCTGCGCGTTCTCACTAAAAGGGTGTGTTTCCTGCCGAAAGTAATGGTGCTTAGTTTGCCACACACCATCCCACTCAAAAACCTAAATCACATAACAGCATCCACGTCAAAGGCAAGCAAGAAAATGACAAGGCGGCAGCGGCAGCCAAGAGCCAAAACATGAACAGAGACAAACTTGGGAAACAAGGAGACAAGCTTCACAGACAAGGCGGCAGCGGCAG